CATGTATGTTATATACTTTCATGTATGTTATATACTTTCATGTATGTTATATACTTTCATGTATGTTATATACTTTCATGTATGTTATATACTTTCATGTATGTTATATACTTTTGTTTTCAAACAGTGTTCAGCCCATCCCCACCACAGATGTGGCTCCATTGCCGAAAATATACATTAATACCACTGTCCCCGGATGCCTACCGCAATGCCTACCACTGAGCCAGCGACTATGCCTACCACTGAGCCAGCGACTATGCCTACCACTGAGCCTGCGACTACGCCTACCACTGAGCCTGCGACTACGCCTACCACTGAGCCTGCGACTATGCCTACCACTGAGTTTGCAACTATGCCTACCGAAGCCAGTGTCGTGGACATGAATCCAGAGACCTGTTCTACAAGTTCTGCAGACCCTACAGAGCATCTTTCTGTGACTACTAATTCTACGCTTACCTCCCCTCCTTCCACTACATCTACAACTACTACAACCCCTACTCCTGAAACTAATAGCCCCACTCCTACCGGTTCGTCTCCTCCTCCTCGTCCTCCTCCTCCTTCTTCACCTCATGCCTCTCCCTCTCCTCCCCTTCTTCCTCTTTCTCCACCTCGTTCCTCTCCCTCGCCTCCCCTTCCTCCTCTTTCTTCACCTCGTTCCTCTCAATCACCTCCTCCTCGTCCTCCTCCTCCTTCTTCTCCATCTCGTTCCTCTCCTTCACCTCCTCCTTTCCCTCTTTCTCCACCTCGTTCCTCTCCCTCACCTCCCCCTCCTCCTCTATCTTCACCTCGTTCCTCTAGCTCACCTCCACCTCCTCGTCCTCCTCCTCCTTCTTCTACCCCTCGTTCCTCTCCTTCACCTCCCCCTCCTCGCCCTCCCCCTCCTTCTTCACTTCGCGCCTCCCCACCACCACCAGCACCGTCTCATCATCCCCCTCGCCCTACTGGAAGAAGAAGAAGAAGCCGGTGGCCCAGCTGGCTAGCGCGCGTACCCCTGTTCGTGTGCGGCACAATCACGTTCGGCCTGTCTATGTCTGTGCCAATCTCTCTGTCCGCCATGTTCCTGGACTGGCAGTCCGACTTCCGGGTTCCCCGCGCCAACACGGCTGCCATACTCAGCACATGCGTGGGCGTGATGTTTGCTGCGGGTGAGTCCATATTTTGTCTGCTTAATTTGGTTGTTTTTTTGCAATTTTAAAGAAAAAATTGTTGTTGTTGTTGTTGTTGTGTGTGTGTGTGTGTGTGTGTGTGTGTGT